ATCACCCTTACGATAGTTCTACATTCAGTTACTGTTGATTTTGCACTTTCTAACTTGAGTTTGATAATTACATCCACTCTTTGTTTAGCGACTACCTTGGTTAGCGATCATTCACAAATATGATGGTAATAAAAGGTAATAAAAAATTCATTTTCCGACCAATGCACGCATTTATGACCAAATTTTGTGCACCTGAAAACATGCACACTGGAGTGAGAGTAATGCTGGTATAACTATACAAGATAACTTTATCTGAATGAGACAGCAGCAACCAGTGATCTTCGCGGTGTTTCTTTCTCTCTCAGTCACAGTGTTTGCTTAGCGACCATTTTGCTTAATGACCTGGTAGTTGGAACAGAACTTGGTTGCTAAATGAGGAGTGGGTGTACAAATTGTGTGCTCTTGTGATCATTAGAACTAAAACAGCAGCTCAGGACCTTCAAACCAACATTAGGAAATGTGTGGGTCTTTGTAGAATGGTACAGTCAGGGCCTAATGTGGGATTGTTGTGAAGGTAGTACAAGAAAAGCCCTTAGAGATGTCTCCAAGCAAACCATTCTGCCCACTTTTCCTAGATGTATAGATGACTGTATATTAAGTTAAGTTGGCAACTCTGATGCTGAAAACAAGGGTACCTCCACATGTCTTGTTTTTTTCACCTATGTTCCAGGCAAGAGCTAAAGACACTTGGACTGACGGTGCTGTTGGACCTAAGTCATGTGGACGATTGGGCCTTCCAGGCTCCTGTATTGCTGCCAGCTCTAAGGGCATTCCAGGTATCATCCTGACTCAGCTGCCTTTCCCTTCTCCCCTGTAGTTCTAATTGGGGATGATGGGAGATGTAACCCAATACATATAAAGAACACCATAGTGGGGAAAATGAACCTAAAGTTTTATTTCCTTGTCCCTCAATAAGCAGCATGAGGATCTATTTACTGTTTTAAAAAAATAGTCTGTTTTTGGTAAAATCAATCCCTACCCTGCAAAACCCAAAACCACAAACCTCTATACTTGTTTTTTGTAATAACGTCAAAATATGAACATAAACAAAAAGCACAGTGTCACCACATCTCATATTCAGGAGTCATGAAATATAATCTGTATAGATTAGAGTGATTTGTGATATGATAAATATCATCAAAATGGTGGTAGATCAGAAAGTCAAAACTTCATTGTTTTATAATGGAAGCCATGGCTAAGCTTTAGATGAACCTTGACCCTGACAGAGAGTGTTTTGCAGTAACTTTTTTTGATTCTCATGTTAGAGAACATGTTAGCTCTGCTCTGTGAACTTTTCAAATCCTTCCCAGGCCTTCAGTTTTTGGGCCAGTAGAACAGAATTCCCTCCCCTCTGCCCTATTGTATGCAACTTTTATGAGCCTGTGAAACTAGACCCTTTATCATTTAGGAGAGTGCACCAACCCCTATCAGTCAGCTCCTGGTGATCTTACCTTCTGATGATCGTTTTGTACCTCATGAAGAGGAATTGACCTTAGAACCTGCTGTGGTAAGAACTCTCGGTTTATATTGGAAGCTGTTTTCTGGAGGGATATATGCAGAAGAAGAAGAGGGAATTGGGGCAAGAATGAGATACAGTGGGGCAAAAAAGTATTTAGTCAGCCACCAATTGTGCAAGTTCTCCCACTTAAAGATGAGAGAGGCCTGTAATTTTCATC